CATCATATTTGGTAATGACTGATTCTGAGTATTGCACATTCACAACTCCTCAGCTACTGAAGCAGTTTGTGTCCATATGCAGCAAGACCTGGAAAGTATCCAGGCTTGGCTGGCAAGTGACAAATAACATTTGTACCACACAAGCACCAGGCAATGACCTCTAACAACAGAAAATGTAACCATTACTCCTTGATGTTCAATGGCATCACCATCACCACATCTCCCATTATCAACATTCTGGGGTCTTCCCATTGACCAAAAACTGATCTGGACTAGCCACATAAATAGCGTTACTGAGTACAGGTCAGAGGCTATGAATTCTGTGGTAACTCACCTCCTAAATTCCCCAAAGCCTGTTCACCATCTACATAGTACAAGATTAGAACGTGTTGTAATACTCTCCATTTGCCTGGATGAATACAGCTCCAGCAACGCTTAAAACACTTGATCCCTACCAGGGCAAAGCAGCATACTTGATTGGTATGATGTCTACCACCTTCAAAGATCACACCCTTCACCACCATCTACAAGATGCACTACATTAACTCGCCAACAATAATTGACAGCATCTTCCAAATCTGTGATCTCCACAACCTTGGAAGAGCAACAGACACATGTAAACACCACTAACTTCAAGTTCCGCTCCAAGCCACACAACATCCTGATATAGAAATATATCACTATACCTTCACCGAGTCAAAATCCTGGTACTCCCTGCCCAACAGTACTGTGGGTATACCTCCACAACTCAAGGACTATAGGAGACAACTCACCACCACCTTCTCAATCAGGGCAACTAGGGATGGGCAACAAATTTTGGCCTAGCCAGCTAGTGACTGAGATTAGGAGATCTTTTTTCTCTGAGGTCGTTAGAGTGTGGTATTCTCATTTGCAGGGAGCAACGGAGGCTGGGTATTGAATATTTCTGAAGCAGAGGTAGATATACTTTTGACCAATGAGGAATTCAGAGAGTGTGGAGGATAGGTTGCAAAGTTGAGTTGAGGGTACAATCAGATCATAGCTCATCAAATGTTGAGGCAGGCTCAAGAAGCCAATATAAATGTGTAGCTTTCAGTACATGCAATGATACCACACAGTGAGCCTGACTAATAATCCTAAATCGATCAGTCTAGTTTTTCATACACTTGGGATTATCCAGTAAATATGATCCAAATGCAGAATCAGATCTAATGTTAAGACTTTTGAGTTTTGTAATAGCCAAAGAGACATACTGTTTGACACAATTTTCCAGTCTGAACATACACCCTACAGCACACTAGACTGAAATTCATAAACCACATTACTCATTTGAGAGATAGGCAAAATCTGGGTTGACAGCAACATCTTTTACTGGAGAAAACCATTTGTATTGCTACCGTACAGTGGTAGCCTGAAAGAGCTAACTTTCCCTGTTGCTCAAACTGAAATGCCTTACCTTTCCAGGGTAATCTAAGCTTTTATGGGTTTGACATTCAATGGCATCACTATCACTGAATCCCCTATTGACAACATCCTGGGGGTTACCATTGACCAGAAACTCAACTGGATTCACCACATTAACACAGGGGCTACAAGAGCAAACCAGAAGCTAGGAATACTGTGACAAGTAACTCACCTCCCGACTCCTCAAAGCCTGTCTGCCATTTACAAGGCACAAGTCAGCAGTGTGATGGAATACTCCCCACTTGCCTGGATGACTGCAGCCCCAACAACACTCAAGACGCTTGACACCATCCAGGACAAAGCAGCCCACTTGATTGGCACTACATCCACAAGCATTCACCACCGACGCTCAGTAGTACCAGTGTGTATTATCTACAAAATGCACTGCAGAAATTCACCAATGATCCTCAGACAGCAGCTTCCAAACCCATCACCACTTCCATCTAGAAGGACAAGGGCATCAGACATATGGGAACACCACCACCTCCAAGTTCCCCTCCAACTCACTCACCATCCTGACTTGGAAACGTAATCGCAGTTCCTTCACTGTCGCTGGATCAAAATCCTGGAATTCCCTCCCTAATAACATTGTGGGTCAACCCATACCAGGAGAACAGCAGCGGTTCAAAAAGGCAACTCATAACCATCTTCTCAAGGGCAACTAGGGATGGGCAAGAAATACTGGCCAGCCAGCGATGCCCACATCCCACAAATGAATAGAGACAAAAAAAAGAGATCTGATTAGGGTAGCTATTATCCTGCAGGATGTGTTCTATTGCAACAAATTCATATGGTGAACAAATGCCTATTTATGATTCATCAATTAAGCCAATCTTATAGCAGACAGATCTGTAGGAATTCTGTCTTTGACAAAACGATGCCCGACTTCCTTCTACTTGCGTACTTCCAATTTGTAGACGACACTTTAAGTCCGCGTTGCAATCCTTTAGACGTCTCAATGGGCCCCATCCAATGCTCAAATTCACACTTGAAATGGAAGTCAAATAAACTTCTTTTTGGCAATATCCTAATCAAGATTTGGTCAGAGGCTTTTCTACCACAATCTATGACAAACCCACCCTCACTGGTCAGTATTCACATTGGTGTTCCTAAAATGTGGAACTTATTGGGGGATCAAGAGTTCTACATCATAAGTTGTCCACCTGGTGCCAAGGTGAAGGACATCTGAAGCCAGCTTAGAGAATAAAGGAACAATCTAGTCATGTTTTGAAGCATAGAACACAGATACCCTTTCTCCCAATCTGTCCACGACAGCCAAGTTTCCTAAATTGAACTAGTCACCAAAATTTTATAAACCGCTATAAAGTCACCCATGAGCCTGCTACATTATTCTATGTACCTGCACCCCCAGGTCTGTAGTTCCCTTGATTAGTTTCCACTAGATCATAGAATTCCTACAGCACGGAAACAGGCTCTTCGGCCCAACAAGTCCACACCAACCCACAGAGCATTCCACCCGGACCCATCCCCCTATAAACTCACTTAATCTACACATCCCTGAACACTATGGGCAATTTAGCATGGCCATTCACCTAGCCTCCATATCTTTGGACTGTGGGAGGAAACCCAGGCAGACACAAGGAGAACGTGCAAACTCTGCACAGACTGTCACCCGAGGGTGGAATTGAACCCGTTTCCCTGGCGCTGTGAGGCAGCAGTGCTAACCACTGAGCCACCGTGCTGCTCCGAGAAAGTGGTAAAAACAGTCCTGAGTAACTGTAATTAGTACAAGCTTGGACTTTATTCATTGAAAGGGTGCAACCACATAGAATTAAGACATTAATATCTAGAAAGATAAAAATCATAAAACTACAGGGGACCTCATGTTGCAAAGGAACTGGAGACATGATATCTGCAGTCCTTGCAGTAACAAGTTTGTTTTAAACTTATTCACAGGCCGAAGGCATTACTGGCCAGGCACACCCCTAATTGCCCTGACAGCAATTAAGAGTTAACCACATTGCTGTGGGTCTGAAGTCACATGTAGGCCAGACCAAGTAAGGATGGCAGTTTCCTTCCCTAAAAGGACAGTAGTGAACCAGATAGATTTTGCAACAGTCAACAATGGACTTACGGTCATCGTCAGACTCCTAATTCCAGATTTTTATTGAATCCAAAAATTCTACCATAGAATAGAATCCCTACAGTGTGGAAACAGGCCCTTCGGCCCAACAAGTCAACACCGACCCACAGAGCATCCCACCCAGACCCATCCCCATATAACCCACCTAAGCTACATATCCCCGAACACTATGGACAATTTAGCATGGCCAATCCACCTAGGCTGCATATTTTTGGACTGCAGGAGGAAACCCACGCAGACACGGGGAGAATGTGGAAACTCCACACAGACAGACACCCGAGGGTGGAATTGAACCAGGGTTCCTGGCGCTGTGAGGCAGCAGTGCTAATCACTGAGCCACCGTGCCGCCCCTACTATCTACCATCTTCTGTGGTAGATAGGAACTAATAACTGTATAGAACAAAACCTGATTGTAGACTACCATGAAGTTAGAGCTCTGGATTATTATCTCAGCCAGCTATTTATCCCAATGCTATTTTGCAAGGTCAGGAGTGAACACAGTGCTGAATAAGTGGTGTGGGAATGAGGAGTTTTATTTCATGGAACATGAGCCTAAGTATTGGGCTCCACCTGAACCCAGGATGGGTGGCCTATAGGATGGCCTCAAAGACTTTAAAAATAGCAAATTGAGGGGAGGGCTTAGATAGAAAAAGGTAGTATGAATTATATGCTGTAACTCAAATCAAACTCCAAAATTTGGAAACACCAGTAATAGATTTTATTTTTGCCTATGCAACTCCAGGACTTATCATAGATGGTGCTGCAACATGTTGAAAGATGAACTTTGACATTTGAAAGAAGTTTTAAAAATGCCAAAAAACGTAGCAACATGCTTAAATAAGAAGATTCCCAAGCAACACTTCAAAAAAGTCTGCCTGCATCACCAAGTGTTATCTCTGCAAACTCATTGCAAGTTGCAGTTCACGATTATTTCTCTAATTCATTAAGGCATTCCAAATGTAGGATGTATTATGGATGTTAATAGGATAGCCCCTGGGCCTATAGATAATTGTTTATGTTTTCCCTGCACAATATTACAACCTGCTGTGTTCTGAAATCAGTTCATTCCCTGTTCTCAGTCTTGTAAAATAAAAATCTTTGCTGGTTGGGAAATCCAGGCATTGTGAATATTAAAAAAAAATAAAAATTCTTCAGGAATGAAATTAGCAAATACCTCTACAAAATAGAGGTATGCTAGCTGTTTGTGACTTGCTTCTGCATTCAGCAGTTTATAAAACTGAGATCAATGGATTTTTACTGACCAAATGATTTGAGTTGCAGATTAGCTATTATCTCAATGGATGGAAGTAAAAACTGTAGGAGCTAAATGGCTTACTCCTGAGATACATCCAACAACCCACACTTTAACTGCTTCATATATGGATGAACAGTTTATGATAATAATGTGGCAAGATAAAAACAGACTAACTTGATCCAGTTTTTTTTAAAAAAGGCTTTATTTACAATTGGACATATCTTTACAAACACCAGTTGATTTTTTTTTATATAAAAGCTATGCTAGTTGTTTACTTTGGTCCTTCTGTAAAATTGAAACTCATGCATTATTCAATGCAAACATTCTGCATAATTAATTCCAAGTGCAAAGGTTTGCAAAACTGATTGTAAACACCACTTGACTTCAGTTTTATATTTTGATAGTATTCACAGCTCTAGACTGAAAAAAAAACAATACAGTATATAGGTAACAGAGCTAAATTAGGTTCTGGGTTGATCATTTTAGACAATGAGTGTAAAAACTGGAAAGAAAGAAATCCTCATAACATTGAAACTTCTGAGCTTCTAAAACCTTCTTGAAAGCCTCTTAAAACAACATACAACAGATAAAAGCCAAAATTCCACAGGACTGAGAATCTAAAGTGATCAAAGACTGCTGAGGCAGTTAAAGAAAAAAAAAGATAGACAAAGCCCTGATGGTCTGCACACCGATTAAACTGAGGAGGGAGTGACAATGGATTTCAATCACGTATCAAAGCATGAAAGATTGTGTCAAGTGGTTTAACATGTAGTGAAATTAAGTGACATGTGACAAACAGCTAAATCATTAATGCACTTCAATGGCGGTGACTGGACAAAACTAGATCTCTATTAAATGTCACTCATACCCCAAATAGCAAGACAGGTAACATTGGATGTCATGGGAGATCTGACACTGTAGTTGAAGATAGCCTATCAAAGCTCTGACTAGAGGAAAACAGCCCACCAGAAGAACCAAGTCCGAATGCAGAGCTGATAAGTCTATTGCCTTGATATTAATTATTTGATTTAAACACTATGCTTCATTTGATACTTGTGTAAACTGTACAATAAAAGCAGTGTGCATTGTTGCATCGTTAAAAAGGTAACTGAGTGAATTAGATACAAATTTTGGCTGGCACAATTCAAGACCAGAATCTCTCTATCCTTTCAGTTTAGATGAGCTTTCCTGAAAAACAAGGCACTGTTTTGGTTAAGAATAAAACTACACATGAACACAAATATATCCTTTGCTACCGGGGAAGGAGCTTAATGGGATTGGGAAGCAGAGCGAAAACATGAGAATCACCCTGTTTAACAAGTTGTTCGCCCCTCCAAATACAGATGCATCTGTAATGAAGTATATAATTTCATATTATACGTAAAATTCCAAGCAATTTATATGTTGCTAGTGTTGGACGTTCATTCAGTTTACCGAATGTTTGAAACTGGGACTGTGATGCACACACGTCAAGGAGCGAGAGAGAAGAGGTGACTAGAGAGGTGGTGCTGGATTGGACTATACAGCCTTTGATAAAGGCCAAATGAACCATTTGTTTTAGAAGTCACAAAGCCTTTTTCTCTTCCCCCCCCCACCCACCTCAGCCTCTGAATGACCTTGATATATATTTAAACAGCAATTTGTATCGGAATGGCCTCAATTAGACCTTGTGGTCTTACAGACAGCCTGGACACTACGTGCAGCTGCAACTGCAGCACAATAATTTGCATTAATATTACAGCAGCGATTTATTAGGAGGAAGACCATAGAAAAGATACAAGTAAAATGCCTTCCATTGTAAAGTACCACTAGATGCTTCATGCGGCCAAAATTTGAACTTTTCAGTTCATTTAATTTTCTATAAATGGAGTCAATTCTACCTTACAAAATTCTACTCATCATAGGAATCCAAAAAGAAACAAATTTGTTCATGACAAATAAAGATCTAAAAGTGTTGAAATGGCTTTGAACAAGTACCATGTGGAATTTTGTTTTGCTTTGGTAGCACTGGGCTCAAAAGTCGAATAATGCACATACTGTCTTGCAAACAAATCGCACTTCATTATGATTCAATGGAAAGTACAAAATGACCACACAATAAATAACTATTGCACTGAATGTTTTCGTAAAACAACAAGACTGAACAAATACTTCTCAAGCAGGGTAACCGACAGTTCTACTTACACCTGACAAGTCAGTCAATTTGGTGTCAAGGTGAGAAGAATTTTTGGTCCCAGTTATTATTCATTCAAAGTACAACTGAGGGTCAAAGTTAATTTTATGGCTCTTCAGAAACTGGATTATACCTTTGTCTGAAAGTGGTAAGGTCTGAGTGGAAATATTTCTCAAGGTGAATCAAACTGAAAAATCCAATGTAAAAGACCAAAAGAACTGTGGGGGCTGGAAATCAGAAACAAAAACAAATTGCTGCAAAATCTCAGGAGGTCTGGCAGCATCTGGAGAGAAATCAGAGTTAGCATTTCGGTTTCTTCAGAACACTCCTTTTAAGTGATTATTGCTAATTTTAGCAATATAATATGATGCACATTATAAAATGGCAAATGACTTTGGTTTAATAAAGTATTTTCAAAACTGCCAGATAAAGAAACAATGGTAGGTAGCAATTAAATTATCAACACATGCAAACACTCTCCAGATTAGCAACAGGCCAGTATACCGTGCAGTTTGGATAGTTTTTTTATTAAAAAGACAGCTGAATAATAAACTTGCTGTCTGTAACAGCTCCAAGAGTGCAATTTTTTTCATTTGTTCAATATATTCAAAAGTGGTCAGTTTTTAGTAGTACAATGTATTTAAATATTTTGGTTAAAAGGCCAAACTAAAGCTCGAGCTCAAATCAAAGGCACCACCAACATTCACGCAGATTGAACAGTGAATTGTCATCAGAACGAGAGGTTAATTGAAGGCAAGGTGAAAGGTTTGTTAAATATCCCAACATTCCATTACTGGCTTGGCATTTCCAACTACTGGTTGGCCAATCTTCTCAATCTGGCTGAGAATTTACCAGAATTGACAGCTATCCCTGTGATTTCTGGAAGTGAATTGGGAGAATTTTAATAGAATATTTAAAAAATATAAAGAAAGTAGATAATTCAAACAAGGGTTCATTCATTCTTAAAACATAAGTTTCAGATGTTTTTTTTTCCTCTTTCCCTAGGCAGCATAATGACATGATATATACGTAAGCAGGTAGTACCACCATAAGTGGTATGCATGCTCATAAGCGTTGTCTGTTTTTCCTGCAAAGTGAACATGATAAAAAAAATCTGCATCAGCTATTTAGCTGACCATTCAAAACAAAAATGCAAAATATGAATGACAGGGGCAAGAAAGACTTTATACAGCAGTGAAAAATAAGCATATTTGCTAATAGAAAAAAATGGTGTTCAAAAATTAACTTTGCAAAATCAACATGATTAAAACAGACTGCATTCTACATCAAGGTTTTCAGTGAAATACAAAGACAAGTGCTGCCCAGCCACTCAAAGCACAAAAGAGAATAAATCAGAAGCAGCAACAGAATGTCACAAGTATTTAAACAAAGATTCAGCCTACTAAAATGTGGTGGAGCAAGTTTGCCGCAGAATATACCACCATTCAAGTTAACCTTTTAACTGAACCACCATCGCCCCACCTCAACCTCATTGAGAGCTATAATTGAGCAAGGTGCGTCAAATAGCTCCCTTCTATGATTCAGTGAGACAAAAGAAATAAAAGCTCCAAAGACCGTGGATGCATGTTACAAAACTTTTTCTGAGGATTCAAAGGGTGTGTTGCTTACTTATAAAATGCAATCTGTTTTATGCCTGCAGCAATTGCATCAATTAACTGTAACTGAAGCATAGTCAAGAACTTGGAGTATAAGCTGAAGACGGAAAATTTACAAATGGTAAAAGTTCCAAATTGTTTGAACTCTTGAAAACACAGTTTTAATATTAACCATATCCTGCATGCATTACTTTCACTCAACTTCATGGCCTTGTCTTTTGTAGAACTGGTTTAAAATAACATACAGTTCGCAGCATTGGGTTTCAGTAACTGAACAACCCAAGATGCAAAGCATTGTAAAGAAACTAGGCCATTTTTAGGATACATTGTTTCTGTATATGAAGAAATGGCTGTTTCAAAAACAGAATAAGGAATCCTGAACAGCAGTGTGCAGACTGACAACCACACAAAGTGCAGCCAGACTCTGCAACTCAGAATAATTCAAGTATGAGCCAGCCCCAAAGAGAGATCAGCCATCTCCCAAAATGAGAAATAAGAAAGTTCAGGCTAACAGTGCAAACTGCCTCAATTGCTAAGTTTGTCTTTCTTCTGGGTTCAACTAAAAGCAAGAGAATGATAGTTAAAAAACTTGAGACATTAGAAGGTGGGCAAGAAATAGCCAATGTATAGTCCAGCAACTATGGTCCTGTAGCAGAAAGTTGATTGTATTGAAACTTGTACACAAGAATGAAATCTGTGGCAATAGCACTTTGAAAGTTCTAGAAGTAACAGCAATGGCCATGAAATACATCCTGTCAGCAGAAAATCTTGCTGCTCTCATAAATGCTGGCAATTCCATTGATGCAACTTTGGCTAAAATCTGGTGTTGGTCTGACAATGCCACTTTGGGCACTTTGCCGTTGAATAGAATGGACCCTGATAGGACAATGACCACTCTATTCACATCTCTTCTTTACACTTTGGATAAGAATCAAAGCAGCAGCAAGGGATATTTTTGATGCAGCCTATAGATATGACATCTGAATCATATTCTTCAGCTGAAATTCTCAGTCTAAAAGCAACATATCGTGTGTGAAAGTGTGTTCACACCCAGTTTTGTGCACGCTTTAAGAGTCTACACAAGGAAGATGTGTGCATTCACAGCAAATGGCACTGTTAATGCCTGTATGTGGTATGATGCATGAAGCATGTGCACATTGCACAGAGGTCTGAAAGAGACTGAAGAATGTGTATCACATGCATGTATTTGTACAAGTATGAAGAGTCAGACATGCATTTGCGATGGTATTTTCCTGAGAGAGAGAGGGGGAGGGGGAGACAGATGGAATCAGATATAACAACTGAAGAGGGAACTAAAAAGCATGCACAGCTCAATTATGCTATATTAACAACCTTATTATGTTAGGCATCTCCAAGGTTTTTCCTGACTGATTAATTATGTAGTTAGATCATTATAAAAAGACAAAACCTTTCATTTTAATGAACTGGTTTCACGTGCTCATATTTTGACTGCTGTGATAACCAACAAATTGCAAATACAAGAAACAATATTCTATATCAGAATATACTTCAATATTAACAAATGCTTTTAATAAAATCCAAGATTCCAAGCCTGTATGTTTGCTAAAAATTAACCATTTCTTCCTTGGGAGATGCCCTATTTGCATACCAAGTTTTGATGAAATTCTGTTAGTTTTTGAGATGTATTGTTTATAGACAAAAGCATTATCTCCACCACCTTCAGAGGGGAAACTACCCTTCCATTTGATTACCAAACATTAAGACAAGGAAATATTTTCACATTGATGTAAAACAATTTTAGGTGAGGTCATTGAAACAACCACATCTTTCAACTCATATTCCATATACAAATATATATTACCATAATTTCATCAATAGGTTCGCATCCTGAATATCCTAACCAATAGCAAGTACAAGAATGAGGGGTGGGCAATAAATGGGACCATCAAATGACAGAGCAGACTCAATGAGCCAAATGCTCTAATTCTGCTCCTATATCTTATGGTCTTATCAAGATCACTCACATTGAGAAAAAAACGCAAAAGCGCCAAAGTGGCAATATATCAGTTGTTACTGTCCTAGCCAGTATCCCTAGTGACCCGAAGGCCTTTTCACAACACTTGAATTCACAATGGATAGCTGAATTCTGATGGGACATCACTCTTCAAATTCAATGTTGAACACATTTTTACTCTAGGAGAAAATTCAATCATCTTAGCCAAAGTCTTATAACAGTGAAATGCAATTCATTGGCAAATAGGCAGCTTGCCTTTGCTGGGTCTGTATCACATTTCAGGTATCATATTCTCAGACATCTGTGTGAGCGCACACAAATAAATTACAAATGTTTCAACTGCGATCTGAAGTGAAATAACAGCACACGCTTCAGCTGATGGCTGACTGACAAACAAAGCAACATATTTAGAACATAGTGATGGGGGTTCCTGACAGCCTGAAAGTCACACCTAGTTTAGAAAACAAATGGAAAATTACTTTAGCATTCAGACTTTAAAAGTTTGTTTTGAAATAAGGGCGTAATTCTGAAACCGTCCACCAAATGTGATGTTCAAGTTTCTGGAGCTGACATGACGAATTCCCAGTGGCAATTTGAGTTCAACATCAACAACTCTTGATAAAACCAGGAGAAAACACAGCACATGAAGTTAAATTAATAAGGCACACATGGTAGACAGGATGAACAGAAAGGCTCTTGAATTTAAGAACCGAGTTCTTCACCACTTTTTCTTATCTTGAAGGTGGTCTTCCAGGCCCACCGATATCCACATCAATAAAGGTGTATAAGGGATATTTCTTGACCTCTAACACCGTGTACTTGAGTGAATTTAAACCATCATGTTCCATTGTCTGTCTTGTTTTAGAAATTCTGTTAAACCTGTAAGCAAATATTTCAGAATAACCAATAGCATATTAATAAGATTACATTTCTATCGACCAAAATTTACTTATCCTAGAATTCACACATATGGAAACTGTGAATTTATATTTGGTCTATTTCATTTGCACCACAAGATTCATCTTACTGGGTATTTAGACATTTGTGGGTTAATTAAGAACTGCCAGAAATTATTAAAATGCAAGTGTAAATTGAAAAAATTAACTGTTTTGAAAGATGTCTCATTGGACAGGCATGGGGAATGCAGTAGATTTATCATGCATGAGTTTTCAGAAGGTCTGAATCATAGAATTATACAGCACAGAAACACACAGGGAGTGATCTGTATCACAATCTGCTGTGGTAGCTGTATGTATGGAGAATGCTGTTCAGTCAGACCTGTCCTTGCCCACTGCCTTCTCCCTCCGCTAATGAATCACTACTCCACCTGTTTGAACACCATTTGAAGGAAGCATGGAGGCTGTCAACGGCACAAAGTGTACTCTGGGTCAATGTGCAGCACTAAGGCCGGGTCAGTAGCATCTGAAGTGGCTGGGTCCGGAAGGCATTGTTTCAAGACTGGATCTGAGACAGCTGGTGAGGGAACAAACTGCAGGAAAATAAGCTTTTTGTTTTAGATTCACTTGTGGGACATGGGCGTTGCTGGCTGGCCAGCATTTATTGCCCATCCCTAGATGCCCTTGAGAAAGGGGTGGTGAGCCGCCTTCTTAAACTGCTGCAGTCCATGTGCTGTAAGTAGATTAAGACAATTCCAAGGTATTGAGCTAGTTACACTGAAAAAGTGATGTAGTTCCAAGTCAGGCCGGAAAGTGACTTGGAGGAGAACTTGTAGGTGGTGGAATATCCATATATCTAGAAGGATAAAGGCAGCAGATAGAAGCACTTGTGGGCTTGGAAGGTGCTAAGGATCTTTGAATTTTTAAAAAAAATTCATTGACATTACGTGGGTGTCACAGGCTAGGCCAGCAATCACTGCCCATCCTGAACTGCCCAGAGGCCAGTTGAGAGTCAACAACATTGCTTTGGGTATGGAGTCACATGTAGGCCAGACCAGGTACAGTTGAGTTTCCTTCCCTAAAAGGACAGTGGACCAGATGGGTTTTTTTTCCTGAAAAGCACCAATGGTTTCATGGTCATCATTAGACTTTTAATGCTTGAATTCAATTTTTCAAAAAAAAAAAAAAAAAAAACACAACAGATTCTGGAGTCTACGTTCTCCTTTCCTTACTTGTTGCAGTATTCCTAGCCTCTGACTTGCTCTGGAAGGCACTATGTGGCAAGTCCAGTTGAGTTGAGTTTCAGGTCAAGGGTAGAGGGATTTAGTGATGACAACACCCATTGAACGTCAAGGGGCGGTTACAGTGTCTCTTCTTGGAGATGATCATTGCCTGGCACTTGTGTGGCAAAAAAGTGTTACTTGCCACTCGTCAGCCCAAGCTTGGATATTGTCCAGATCTTGTTGCATTGTGTCATGGACTGTTTCAGAACATGAAGAGTCACGAATGATGCTGAACATTTGCCAATGATTGCACAACATCCCCACTTCTGATTTATGGAGGAAAAGTCATTGCTGAAGCAGCTGAAGACTGTTGCACCTAGGACGCTACCCTAAAGAACTTCTGCTGAGGGGTTCTGGAGCTGAGATGAATGGCCTCCAACAAACAGAACCATTTTCCTGTATGCAAGGTATGACTCCAATCAGCAGAGTTTTCTTCTTGATTCCCATGGATTCTAATTTTCCTAGGGCTACTTGATGTCATACTCAATCAAATGTCACCTTGATGTCAAGGATTGTCACTCTCACTGCACCTCTGGAATTCAGCTCTTTTGTCCATGTTTGAACAGAGGCTGTAATGAGGTCACGAGTGAGTAGCCCTGGCAGAACTTACCCTCAACTTCACCAATTGACTGCTTGCAGATACATCTGTCCATGACAGTATCCCTGGAGTGACCACTACACAGTCAATGTACAGACAGGCAATGTCCCATCTTCATACTAAGGATACCCTCCCATCTTGATGTGAGGCACTCAGTGTTAAATAGATAGATTTCAAATAGATTTAGCAAATAAAAACTCAGTATCCATGATGCACCATGAGCCACCAGTAGCAGAATTACCTTTAACCTCAATCTGTAACCTCATGGCCCAGCATAAGCCCCACCCTACCATTGCCACCAAGAGGGGAGATTTATCCTGGTTCAAAGAAAGTGCAAGTGTCATGCCAGAACATGAACTAAGCATACTAAAATGTCAGGTGTCAATCTGGTGAAATTGCAACACAGAACCAGCCAGACGCCAAAACTGTGGCAGCTACATGCAACAGACAGCGCTAAGCAATCTCACATTCAATGGATAAGATGTAAGCCCTGCAGATTTGCATCATCTGGTCACGAATGGCAGTGGACATCTAACAAGAGGTGCAGCAAAATCTACTGGAATGGTTCCACCAATAAAGGGACTGCATTTATGTGGATAGACTGGTGAAGCTGGGTTTTTAAGAAGCAAGGAAAGCTAATCGATTTAGCAAAGATGTTTGATGTCATGAGGACTTCAGTACAGTAAGGGAGCCAGCTTCCAACAGCCACAAAGTAAAACCACAGGTCACCGATTTAAGATGGCTAGGGAAAAGTCTTGCCCAAGAGGTATTCAATTTTTGTCCTGATTCTCAATATTTGTGGCGCAACACAAACACTGGATGCTGAAAAACTGAAGTAAAACAGATGTTGGATAAGCTCAGTAGGTGAGATAACAATGGAGACAGAAAGAGTGGCATGAACTGAATTGAAAAATTAATTCCATTTGTCTCTCTCCCAATCAGTCGAGTGCTTCCAATATGATCAGAATTTATATTATGCTATGCTGTTTCAGAAGGTGACAACTTACCTCTGAGGGTTAGGTGCATTATTTTTATCTCTGTTATGTCTTATCATACGGCATTTCCCAATGCCACCACTTGGACGAGAAATCTTCATGCCTTTGAAAATTATCCTATTAGGAAAGAAAAAGATAGGTCTTGAAAAAAGTCCTCCAATGTCTCTTTACCATTGTCTAGCTGAGTGGGACTGTACTCATGTGATTCTATTATCAAATTGTAGCCACAGAATTACCTCCGATGGATTTGCTTCCCAGCCCTGCTGTACCTCCTCTCATGTCCCCCAAGAAGCTAGCCTTAAGCTTCCACCTTTTTCTCAGTTACATGTTTTGCTATAGCAATATAATCTGGAAAGTGTTAGTTTCCACAAATACATTGATGACACCCAACTCTATTGCATCACCTTTCACAGCTGTATCACTATCCAGACAGATAGATCGCTTGTCTAGCAGTCAGACAAGGAGAAATTCCTTTCAACTATATCCCCAGAATTGAGTATTCATATGCACACCTGGCCAGCTACCACTTTCCACCCTCCATAAATATGCCACATATACTCTTGCGCACTTCAAGTTCATTCACTTACCAATGCTACATCTGGTCTACATTAGCTCCTAGTTAAAGGACAGCCGGACTTTAAAATTTTCACTCATCCTCAATTTTTCCATGGTCTTCTGCATCGCTTTAATCTCCTTCAACCCTACAGCCTTCTGAATACTTATGTTCTGCCTGCTAATTCTGTCCTCTTGGTCATTTCTCATTTTAAAGAATCCCACTTCAGCTACTAAAAATTAAAAGGATTGGAATTTCATTTCTATTCTTCTTTCATTGAGCTGATTTTGTTTTACAACATACCCGTGAAGCATTTTTGGTAACATTACACCAGAGGTACTGTATAAAGACAGTTATTTGTTGTTATACCCCCGTACCAGTAACTATCGGAGGTTTATATGTAATAAGCAATGCAGAATTTGAACTAGCAACACACCCAATGGACCCTGCACATTTCAACTTAAAATTAGTTTCATAAAATTATCTGGCACAACCCAGAGAGCAGACACTGGACCTAATGAGTCAGCACCAGCTCTTTCAAAAAGAAATCAAGCTGGTTTCAAAATGTCTTTCTCCATATGCCTGTTGCTATCTTTTAATCATTAAAACTGTAGTAATTCAGAGCATGTTGGCAAAGGTTTCTCCATTTTGAGTAACTAGTAGCAAACTCCAGACAGAGGTAGGCAAGTGAGTTACAGCTTCGGTCCCTTGTTTATCATAAGTTGGCTTCTTTGCTTCACATTCGCTAATGAGATGAAAATGGATACCATGTCAGATGGGGAGCAGGGCTGCATCCTGTGTGTAGACGATGCTCGAAAATGGATTGATTAGTGCACGTTTAGTAAATTTTGGGGGAGGGGGTGTTGAATGAGCTAATTCCTGCATGTGAGGAAGGGAGTGGCCAAAGACTGACCCATTAATATATATATTGGGAGTGCAATCAGTGGTAGTAGAACAGAGATTAATCACTGTTGGAGCAGGAAGGGGAGGAACAGGACTGAAGAGGGCAGACAGGGGTGGGGACTTTAGGGAAGGTAGCAGGGAAAGCATTTGCCAAGTCTTCCACTACCAGGTATTGTTGAAAAGATTGGCTGAAGAGTGAGTACATTTAATAACACTGTTACAAAGTTGATCCATGATATGTAAATCATTACATACCGAGAGAGAGTGTCACTGTCTTCTTATTGCTCCTTTGTTTCACTGGCATCTAGCATCATGTTAGTTTTCCCAAGTGTAAAAATGGAGTCATATTGGAAAATAGTTGGGATAAATTGTAAAGATGTGCCTTTTTATTTTTGTGCTTTCTAAAACTGTGGATGGAAATGAGGGAATAATTGTTTTAAAAGCAGTGTTTCAAAAGATTACTGCATGCTTTCAAAGCAAGTGACCTGACAGCCACAGTTTGGTTTGTATAGCTGTTTGAACAAGCAGTAATTGTAGTGGTTGCAGATTAATTGGAACCGATGAATTCTGTATTCAGATACACCTGGATGGCCCAGTGGTTAGCACTGCTGCCTCACATTAAACCTGGGTCCCCAGTGCTTCTAGCCTCCGATAACTGTGCAAACGCCACACATTCTCCCTGTGTCCGCGTGGGTTTCTTCCAGGTGCTCCAGCTTCCTCCCAGTCTAAAGCTGTACAGGTTAGGTGGATTGGCCATGCTAAATTGCCCCAGTGTCCATGGATGTGAAGGCTTGGTGGATCAGCTGTGGGAAATACAGGGTAGCAGGGTTAAAAGGCAGGGGGTCTGGGTGGGGTCCAGGAGGTTCTATGTGGAATCGATGGGCCGAAATGGCCTGCTTCCACACTGTAGGGATTCTACATATTCTTGGGTGCAATGCTCATATAACAGCTGTAAAAGAGATGTATCAACTTACTACCATCTGTGTCTCTATAAACCTATCAACTATTTTTGATGTATTCAATCTTGATAAAATTGTTCACAACTCAGATCTGAGTTTGAGATGGTGGAAGTCATTCAGTCCTATCTTTCAGCACAAAGCTAAATTGAGAACTAGCGGCAGATAGGATGCGCATGTGCCTGAAGGGGTTTACCGATTAATTTGCAAGTGTGTACCTGCGCAGAAGTCTTGGCTGAAGCTGGATGTGAGAAACAGTTGCTTCTGAAAAAGTTAGGCAGTTTAGGAGTTTTAAGAAAGAAGGTTACTCAGTGTAAAGAGCTTAGTTTTAAAGTTTCAGACCAGAAATATTCTGTTAAAACCACGAAGAGGTCATGCAAAGCTGAGAAAGTCTACTTTCAATTATATGAAGAATCAAGAAAGTGGCCACCAGATTCTCATAACAGGAATTTGAAGCCACAGCTAAGTCAAACCTCATGTGGAATAAAGAAGGGCATTCTCTGTTAGAATAATGACATTAATTACATTTATATTTGTGTTTTGAAATCTTTAAATGTGTTTTATGTAACTAGCTTGGTTTATATTGTTGATCAATTTCCTTTTGGTAATAAACTTTGTATTGTTCAAACCAAATCTGCAGTATTGTATGTATCTGTTTCACTGAAAGATCACCTCATTAAAATGAAAACAAATGATCTATTATGCCCAATTTCAGTCTGGAATCTAACTTGCCCAGTAACAAAATCAAGTGGGATCATAACAGTATTAAATAGGTGAACTACTTTCTAACTAACTCCTGAACTCATTTTTCCTTTACCTTTATGTTCAATTGAAAAGGTTCTGTAGTTTGATCATTTTTAATTTATTTGGCAACTTACAAGACAGTCCATCTAATTTATACTCAGCCTCTCATCATAAATCTTTTGTACTCTCTGAATCAAGTTGATTCAGATCAAAATCAATATCACACGCTACAGAGCCATTTAACACTGGACCAGATGCTAACCGGCTAAGAGCAGAACCACCACCCCATCTGGGAAGGAAGTCATCTTTTACAGGATGGCTGCCAAATCAACTGTGTTCTCAGCAGCACCAGGTTCGTGGTAGCCATGCTTGGGACTATAGTCAACAATCAAACAGGAGCAACAAATGCAGGCCAGATAAGTCCAGTCAGCAGTGCCTGGCTGATGCAGATGCCACGAGGGGATGATTGTTGTTTTTTTTTCGGGGCGGGCGGTGGCGGCAAGGCGGGTTGGGTATACAAGGATGGGAGCAGATTTTAAAGACATGATAGGGGGATGAGCTCTCTCAGGTGAACAGAGGACCACCAAAAGGAGATATCCACCTTTTCCACAGCAGCTCAGGCAGCTACCAGGCTACCCACTTTGTATGCACCCCTTTCTGCCATGGGATGAGGTACTTAAAAATTTACAAGCACTACCTTCCACTGGGAGTGGGCCACAAAATTCCAAAGAGTGTAATTGCATCAGAATTGCATTAACAGAATTTGCAAAACAAGTATTGTATGGAACAACCTTAAAATCAAAAAACATCAATACGATTGTGATGAAAATCAAATCCTATTTTTAACTGAACAGTAACCCAACAAGTTGAACAACATGCATGCTGCATGTATTACCATTGCGCTGCTCTCTCTCCAGCTGGGTTAGGTTGAAAGTTGCTATTGAGATCACACTACGCCCTTCAATTGGAATGCTCAATATCCACCTACTCACTGTACAAGCACTTTTTAAACCAACTATGACTGAATCATTTCAACTGTCATTACTTGATTATTGGGACTGCAACTTCAGTTCTGGTCCCGGAAGTTGAGCTAACTTAACAGTCGTGAATGAAACACCATTTGTACTATTTTGCAGACTCCTAGAAAGGCTTTGCAGACCTCCATGAGACCACAAATACCAGATTGAGAACTGTTGATTTTGTTTGAACAAGGAACTACACGGGTGCTACACAACAGACTCAGATCTACGGCATTGCTAGTTTGAAAGTTCAATTTAGCATTCTACTGCTTTGCTATTTTGTTTTTCTGAAGTAGTTGCCAATCACTGTACTGCCTATCATTGCTGTCAAAACTAAGGTGTCTCTGCTCTAGGTGCTTCAACACATTATGCTTACAACCTCATTTGAATTGGGTAGCATTTCACCTACCCATTCAACTTCATATCTTTACTTTCTTCACTTCCACATTTCCCGTATTCGGTGACTGGTTCTTCAGACAACTGCTCCACTTTAAAACATTTACCATTACCTATAATTTTGATCTCAATTTGCGATATTCTGTACACATTAAATTTTTGGGACTTCCTGTTTCTACTTTCCAAAGGCCAAAATCAGCCTCAATCAGTAACAGATTCCCATTTTTAAGTTAATTCTGTCTCAAAAACTTCAAATGTTACAGGATATTCTTTGACTTCAGACTTCTATCACTTGTTGAATTTCACTGTCAAAACTGCAAAGCTAGAGACACACGTACATCATCATGTTGCCTTGGGAAAATCCGAGATGTGCATTTTTGTGCCTTCTGAGACAACACGTACATATGTAACTTTGCCCTTTTGTACCAGATTCACGTTTGCAGTGCATTTTGAGAGACATGACACAGTAAGAAAGGCAGGTGGGCACAAAGGCAGTTAAAAGGCCTACTGAATCTCCGACAATGGTCCAGTTCTGAACCAGTACGGTTTACAGACTCACACCGGAACGCCACTGCCTCCAAATATCACTCCTTAACCATACCCACCACATGCCCCCTCAGCTCACTTATTCATCTTCCATGTCCTCCACAACCTTGTATTACAATGCACAGCCCACAGGAGCCCTGCAGTATCTAGGAATTATTTTAAAATCCTCAGGAAAAAAAAAAGAAAGACATTTCTAACAATTTAATAAAATTCTGAAGTCAAACACTAACATTGATATCAGGGAAGTGCTCCAATGTAAGTCAATGAACTTACTCTGAACTCGTTCTAATGAAATTTTACAATTTAAGACAACCAGGTATGTACACAGCAATTTAAAATTCTCATTTTCATGTACAACTCCCATGTAACAAAATTGTCCCTACTTATATAACCAAACCTACCCTTAGAACAATCTACAATCTGTTGTGCATCTGCAATTTTCTACCTTCCCTTGCCTTCTGTACTCTATTTATATCAATTTCTGCTTTGGCTCAGTGTCAGTAACTACAATAATTGGTTTACCGATTGCATGTTCCTGGCTAAGAATTGTGCTTAAATTCAGAATCAATTAAAAAAATGAATCAAAAACTAGGAGACAATGTTTATCATTAAGAATTCAGAGTAAATTATTCGGCAACATCGAACATAAATCCAGGAAAATCACCGATGCAAACAGTAATGTCAGATCTAAAAAGGACTTGTCCTTGGAGAAAGGAGAATCTAGGCATTGGATGGAAATCAATATTGTGGGTGGACATCAAAAATACTTGCCTTAAAAGGTTCCATGTGTTTGTAAATGCTCACCAGAAGCTTATTAAAAACAGCTGCAGTGGTCAGGACCTACAATCCTTTAATCATATCATTCAAAACCATTTGAGAAGTCAAGAGATATGAAATCTCCAACTCAGCACCATTGTGGTAGCACTAGAACAATGTGACAATTAAACCCCTCTGCTCCTCCACACTTCCTAGATATTCTTCACGATAAAATATTGGATCTTCCTTTGAAGTACTTTCACTTTCACCATATTGAACTTCATCTGCCAAGCTTATGTATCTGTTCCTCTGCGACTTCCCAATCTCAAAGCCATTGACAAGAATTGATGCCTTTATATTAACTACTGTGGAATGTAAAATCTTTAATGTTTTGAAAAAATATCGCTATATATATTGTAAAATCTGGGTCAAAAACACAAAGCATTTGACTTCATGTTCAATTAGTTGCTGGCTTCTTGTATTTATTGTCTTGGCGCACACTCATTGGCAAGATGCCAGTCTTTCTTTCCTCCAACGATGCACACCTTTGCAGCTATGGCCTAATTATCACGAGACTGCAGAACTAGTTGAATTTTTATTTAAGGGTTGCATAAACACTATTCCAGATAAATCTAACATTTACTGGTAACTGAATACCTTACCATACCATCAAGATTCAATTGGAATTCACATGTTAATATCTGTACATAGATGCTCTATGTAATGTCACGACAGGGCAGCATTACAGTTAACTCCTTATATGAATCCTACCCTCAATTCAAGCCACTAAGTGTACCCCATAAATCAGTTAACACTTCTTTATTGATACAACTTTGCGCAAGCTTGAACATTAAAAAGGGTGAGATTTATATTAACATAGGATCTTGTTTTCTTTTCCGGAAGCATGTTAAAAACATTTCAGAGAGCTGTTTTGAAATGCAGTGTCTGCTGGTAATTGGGTAAACCTAACTGCCTTTTTGCACACAAAGGGGATCAATGACCAGGTAAACTACCTTAATGTGATTTTATGGATGGATGTTGACCAAGATACCAGGAGAACTCACTGGCTCTTCTTCAAAGTAGTTCCAGGGACAGGCAGATGACAAAGCAATTCAGTACCTCTCCAAAAGTGCAGTATTTCCTGTAGACACAGTATCAGAACATGGTGGAAGTAATCCAGAGGCCTGGGCAAATAGTTTGGAGAGACTAGTTCCAATCCCACTACAGTAAGTTTGGAAACTCATCACTCCAAACTTATATAGTTGATTGAATTTAAGATGCTATCCAGTAACAGTGACGATGAAACTACTGAATTATTGTAAAACCAATCCCTTATTAGTTAGGGAAATTGACCCACAATTAGGTTAATCTTCTTATGAAATGGCCAAAACAAGCTTCTAAGTTGCATTAAAGAAATAAAGACACTAGGGCTATGGGGTATCTTCACCACAGTGACCCACCAATAGCTTAAGTTAGGGATACACAATAAGCAGTAGCCTTTCCAGCAAAGCCCATATCCTGTAAATGGATTAATAAAGAAAATGTAATAAATATCCAACTGTGTTTAGTTCGTGAGCAATTCCAACAGGGATGCCTGTTGGAAGCAAACTTCAAACAAACAAACAAACAAACAAACACACTCACATTGCTCCAAGTCAGAAGACACAGAAAGGCAGTCAAAACATCTAGATAATTCAGGGAAGAGTGGAGTTAAATGCAAGGTTTTGGAACAAATAATTAAATCAGAAACACACCTGTTGTAGATGTCATCGTCTTCTCCTCCCCAGCCCCAGTAATCATTAGGGAATCCATTAATTTTTTCATGCTGTTCTCTACTTAAAGCTGATATTCCTCCAAAGTACTGGTTATACGGTAATCTGAAACAAACAGTTTAAAATTTATTTTCAGCATTTTACGTAAAAAGGTGGTAAAATCTCTAAATCAGCTTGAGCTTTTAAAAGGCAGATCAGAACACACTCTAAGAGTATTCTTATCCAAAACCAAGTGTTATACTATAGAAACTGAGGTGTTACATTTTATTGTGCTTTTCAACTTACTACCCATTCTACACATTTTCACTGTCACAAAAAACCTCCAAACTCAATGCTCACCACAAACGACTTCCAAGTATTGAACGGAATCATCACGATGAAATGTGATTCAGCTTAAACAGGTAGAAATAGGATGCAAGAATCCTGTGTGTTATAAAGGAAAGGCTTTGAAAGTGAAGCTGCAATAAACTCCACGTAATCTGATATTACTCAGTCTTTGAGTAGAGACGAGTCAGTACGGCATGAAGTCCCAACAGAGATAAATGTGTCACCTGTAATTATAGGGGCTAACCAGTCAATGTAATTGTACCTATAACCATCACATAAAAAAACTCCATGTTAACCAAGACAAGGGGCTCTTCCCGTTAAGGCTCAATGGTGGTTAATCATCTACCGTTGCTAATAAGGATCGGTGGCAGCAATTTACCCCAACCACAAATGGTTGATACTGTACTATACAACAAGGTTGTGCTTAACGTAACAACAATAAAGAGATACCAAAGATGTCCTTTGGGATACTGGTGTTCGATCTGAACCGAACTCCCTATTTATGTTAATAGGGAGTTCATTAATTTGAACCCGGACATAGGAAAGAAGTGTTAATATTGTATCACATCAGATACCTTGTCTGATAAAACAGAAGTTATAGATCACAAAGATGAAACTACATGGTTGAAGTGAAACACTTAAGATCAAAAGGTATGTCACAATAAAGTACAACAAACAGATCAGAGATGAGAAAGCATATATAATTTACGATCAATACTTCTCGTTTGTGCGTCTGAGAGCGTGTGTTTACCTCAACAGCCTTGTGGGAGCTGAAGGTGCTCAAATAGCTCCAAGAGAACGACTGGTCCAGGAACAAACAGTTGATAACCAACCAGTCAAGGGGCAACTGGCAGAAAATTTCACTGGGTTTCACAGACAGAAGAAACCCAAGAAAGAAATAATTTATGCAGATTGCTCATGTTGACACCAGGATCTGACTAAATGCTGGAAGAGCCTCAAGGAACAGATGTATCACTAAAGACCAAGAATCATAGGTGGCCTAACATTTAATTTGGGTAATTACAGATTAGTTAACAACATGCATAGCAAGAAAATTTAGGACTTTTAATTTAGTACACAATTATATCTGAGCAAAAGCCAGCACAAATTTTGAACGGTACTATGTTCAGTAAATAGAAACATAGAAAATAGAGTAGCCCATTCAACCTGTCAATCCTGCTCTGACATTCATGATTACGTTTAAACTCAGTACAATAAAACAGCATTCTAACAATACTTGACAACTTTAATATTTAGAAATCCATTCCCTTCTTCAATGTATTCAGGGACTTGGCCTCCACAATCTTCTGTGATAGAGAATTCCACAGGTTCACCAGAGTGTAAAAATTTCCCATCCGAGTCTGAAAAGGCCTTTCACGTATCTCAAGACTGTGATCTCTTGTTCTCATCTCTGGTCAGAGAAATAACATCCCTACGATAAGTCTGTCAAGCTGTTTAAGAATTTCATACTTCTCAATGAGAACTCAAATCTGTCATCCCAGGAATCAGTCCGATGAGCATTTGCTGCATTCCCTCTATGGGAAGTATATCTTCGCTTGGGTAGGGAGACCAAAACTCCACATGGTAGTCTAGGCGTGGTCTTACCCAGAACTGGGCAGCTGAGTAACACTTCCTTGCTCCTGTACTCAAACACTCTTGCAATGAGGCCAACATGTACAAATGGATCTGGGCATCCATTTTCCAGTCTGTCACCATTTAAGTAATACTCTTCTCTTGCATTTCTCATATTGAAGTGGACAACTTCACAGAAAATCAATGACTCCTTTATTCTTAATAGATAGAAGAAGAAATGCAGAAGATGTAATCAACATGAACTTTAGGCAACAAGTATACTGACACAGTTGGTAACTTTGCTTCATATGGCTGAGGATAGCACGGTAGGCAAGTCCATCAAGGAATTCCTCACACCATTTACCACTGACCCATTAGAATGATGGGCTTCAGCAAGCTTTTCTTAGCATGGAAGCCTAAGCTCGGCAATGCCTTTTGTTAAGGCAAGTCACCCATTTTGCATGATGTAAGGAGTTTCAGTAATGGTGTATCAGATGCTCTTGATTAGGAAAGAGTGAACCAGAAGGATAAAATGCTGACCAGTACTAAAGATACCATACCTAATTCTTTGCTTTACATCCACATATTATTTGCAATATGAGTACATCCATATTAAATTGAGATATACTGATTAGATTGAACCTGCACATCAAGTTTAAAGTGGATTCTGTAATTAAAATACCATTCAATTAATGATGACAGCCAATTACCGTCAAATTTGAAAAGAAAGGAATGAATGTCCTTTGGATTACAAGAATGGAATTTTGTTGGCAATCTATCCATTACAAAATAAATTTGCACACTTGGTCTTACCTGAAACCAAATTTATCCATTGATACAGCCAGGTGCCTTGGTTGGCTGTAACACCTGTATATATTTCGATCATCCATGGGAATCAAATCAACATCACTGAATACAAAGCAGTTGTAGTCGTATTCTTTCAAAGCTTCCATAAAACCTACGTTGAGAAGTTTGGCACGATTAAAAGTATCTTCTCCATGCTGAAAAAAATTAAATTGGAGAAATGGAACACCAAACACCAAACACAAACTAGGGAGCTATTAAATCAACATTTTTACATGTAAAGCTCCTTTCCTATTTTGAAGCATTAGAAATTAAGGCACAATTAAATCAATGCAGATTCTTAAACTATACAAAATATCCAAAGTTCAGATTCTGAATACTGCAATGGTGACTTTTCACACAATTTTGAAAAGTGGTACGGGTACAGCACCTTCATTTACATTGACCCACATGGTGGTGGTACTCAACTGCCATTTCTAGATCAATGCACAGTGGACTTAAAGGACTATGCAGTCACAGTATCTTCGCAGCCTCCTCCACTGATTGGTTTGGAGGATCATTACCACCTTAAGAGCAACTATCGGTGACATTTACACCTGTTGAAAGATCAAAAATGTTCACTACTACTCATGCCTGATGTGCTAGGACTTGCAGAGCTCTGAGCCGATCTGTTGGTTGTTTGGATTACTCAACCATTTATAATATGCAGCTCCCACTATTTAGCATGCATCCAACCTTGTGTTGTAGGATAAACAGGCTAGCACCATATTTTATCGTATGCCTGATGATGCTCTCCTACAAACTCAGAAGTCCACCCCAGTACCTCTACATCATGGCTACACTCAATCAAGGATTGGTCCTTTGATACAACGTTATATAGAAGAATTTGTCAGGTCATGAGATTACAGACTGTAGCTATATACAATCCTACTGATAATGGTCCAAAGTGCCTTGTGACCAGCTTTGAGCTGCAGGATTTGTTTCACATCTGTCCCAGTTACTGTGGTAGCAGTTCTACACAATGCAGTGGTCATTTATCATGGTTGATGCACATCCAAGCCTGCACATCCCTGGACACTACAGGGTAATTTAGCATGACGAATCCACCCAACCTGCACATCTTTGGACTGTGGGAAAATTTGGAGCTCCCAGTAGAAACTCTCACAGACACGAGACAAATGTGCAAACTCCACACAGACAGTCGCTCAAGACTGGAATTGAGCCAAGGTCCCTGGCACGGAGAGGCAGCAGTACTAGACACTGTCCCACCATGCTGTACACATGCTTTGTATTTAATCAACTCAGTCAAGAGGTGCTACTGTGCCAGTTTTGGTGATCAGCATGCAAGTCCCCCACCCAGAGTACATTGTGCTGTTTTTACTCGATGGTTCTTCCAAATGGTGTTCACCATGAAGCACACAAAACATGAATATCTGCATGTTTCTCTACACACACCATCTTGACCGAATGCATAGCCGTGTTTCTTCAAATGTCACTGGATGAAAATCTCAATGTGCTTACTAAACAGCACTAAGAATCTGCAAAGAGTGGACTGCAGGAGTTCAAGAAAGCAGCTTAATACTTATTCCAGGGAAATTAATAGCACCCTTGCCAGAGATGCACATACCCTAGTAATTAATAAGGCAGGTAAATGCCAAGCAGGAGGGGGAGGAGCAAATCTCTAGTAAGGCAGTAATGGGTAGACTGTAGAGAGAGGAAGGGTGAAAGAACAGAGACTAGAAGAAATGCCTTGGGTTACTAGCATTCAAGAAGAAGGTTAATACATAATTTAGTTAAAACCAAACTATAACTTTCTGTAAATACCAGTTAACAAAATTACAGCTTGTGGCTATATACGATCTTGCTGACAATGGTCTAAAGCACCTCAATGAATAGCAACTTTGAGTTTATTTGTTTCACATCTGTCCCATCGTAGTAGTTCTATGTAATGCAGTAGTCAGATTCTGCAGTGATAAGATAGGACTTGGTCTCCACACGGACTGAACGATTGCCACCCCTACTAATACTGCCATGAACAGATGCATGTGTGATTGGTAAACTATTCAGGGCAACTAAATTGTATGAAATAGTAGTAAGCCCTATGGCCTCTCAAGCCTGCTCAACCATTCAACAGATCATTGCTGATCTCTTAGCTCAAATCTTTTTTCACCATCTCTTCCCATATCCCTTAATTCTTGGTTAGTGATTCTCTCATAACTTACATGTGTCCACAGTTCCGATCAGGTACAGGCAAGTCCGGATTGCAAATGCATTCCATTCTGGAATCATTTTGCAATCAAATTATATGCAAAGCAGGAGAATGGAAAACAACCGAAAAGTACAGGAAACATTCCTATATCAGTCTTTAAAATTGTAACCATGCATGGGATTGTGTTCAGAAGGACAAGCATAAGTCAGATGTTTGTAAATCAGGAACCACTTGTGATTCAGAGGTGAGGAATTTGACCAGCGAATTTCTCAATTCTGGTACCTCAGCCACACAACACAATCACTGATCAAACTATAAAGGGAGAACAGTGGTCTATGAAAAGGATGTGCAATAATGATACACAGTAAGTTGACAAACCAAGATCACATCACAGTACCCAAGGATCAAGTCGTGGACGGTGAACTTTCTAGCATTCAGATTTATCAAATACTGCGGATAATACAAAGATCTAATTCAAAACATCAAAGACCACAATAAACCAAAAGGAACACTTGGACAAACAGGATAAAAGTGATTTAAAGAGGCGATATTGAAATCAAAAACTTCAGAATTAGGCAAATGTAGATGACATTAGCTTCATGCATCAGGACCTCGCTGTGTTGTGATATTGCTTGTATGCAAAGTAATTATTCTGTTTCCTACATAACAACCTCGAGCATGTTTCAAAAGTCACATTGGGATGGCCTAAAACACATTATGCAATTGCAACACTTTCTTTTCTCTTAGTGCTTAAAAGTTCTACTCCATCTTCTAGATCTTGATTTTCCAAGAGATCACTGGATTATCTAGCCACTGATGCATTTATGAGCAACTATTCAGCCCAATTCAAAATGGAGGCTGTTTAAAGCAAATTTATTTAGATCTGAAAATCTAGTTCTGTTGTCATTTCTACTTTTGTAAATCTGCTTACACCGAGTTGAAACCTTATGTCAAATTAGTACAATTAAATATTCATAGTTGGTACTCCCAGGTTTCAGTTATACATCACAATTTTCTATTTTTAATAATTTACTAAACTCTATACATTAATGACAATGCAACAATGTTGCATTTCTTCTGCATTCTCCACAATATGCATTAAAGTCTACTATTTCATCTCCGTTCTCTGTGCCCCTACTTTGGTTTAATCAATCTGGTACTATCCTAACCATTCCTTTTGTTCCCACTACTGAATCATTCAAATGCTTATTTCAACTTGAATGTCCAGCATGTTCCATGACTCCTTTGCCCTACCAAATCCTTATTTACAGGTAGTGTATGTAACTACATACGTCAAATTAAAACCAGCAAACGAGCAATCTTGTGTTGCACGCTGGTACCACTTCGCTCAACTGGGAACATCAGGTGGCTTGACAGAAGTTGAAATTTCTAGATTAAGATTAATTTAGTTGATCTTAATCAGGAAGATAAATCCTGTGTCTTCTTACATAGAATTAGGTAAGCTGCTTCATCACAAACATTATGCAGAGGGAAGTTGACGGCACATTAGCACACAGATACACAGAAGTGCTATTCACACTGCAGGCGTTTATACTCAACACCTAAACCACAGTACTGGATAATGCAATGTGGGATTTTTACATTGAAATCTAACACTGATGTTTGATTCCTAACATCTTGAAACTTTGTACATGACATGGTTTTTAATTAGATGTTAAAGAGAATCAAAGGAGAATGTAGCAAAACATGGAACAATATTTTTTCCATTATGGATTAATACACTTGAAGCAAAAGATACACTTGGTAGACGATTTGGCAGTAAGGAGCCATTGCCAGGCACCACAATGGCTGGGTTACGTTCAGTTATAAAAGTCATCAGGTGCCACTGATCAAAGTGAGTGTAGGTGGTGTTAAATTTAGTTTATTTAAAATACACAATGTTCAGAAGATGACTTGTTGCAAATATCTAGTTCATGGTCCATGTGTTTTAAAATCTCACTTTTAGTTATAGCATCATAGAGAAGTGAAACAGATCCTTTGGCCCAATCAGTCCATGCCAACCAGGTTTTCTAAACTGAACTAGACCGCACAAATTTTATACCTCTTAATAAAAAGTCACCAGCCTATGTTCCAGGTGACGTACCTGCACCTCTAGGTCTCTAAACTCAGCTGATTAGTTTCCAAAATAATTGAGAAAGTGGTACAAACAGCCCTGAGTAATTGCAATTAGTACAAGCTTGAATTTTATTCATTGAAAGGGTGTGGCCATGTAGAACTAAAGAGTTAATAGTAGAAAGGCAAGACCTTAAAACTACAGGTGACCTCACATACAAAAAGAATTAGCCATGATATCCGTAGTCCTTGAAGTAACAACAGTTTTTAAAAAATTTATACATGGGGCGAGGGCAATGCTGGCTAGGCTGACATTTATTGCCCAGATAGCAGTTAAGAGGTAACTATGTTGCTGTGGATCTGGAGTCACAGGTAGGCCAGACCAAATAAGAATGGCAATTTCCATCTCTGAAGAACATTAGTGAAGCAGGAGGATTTTCCAACAATCAACAATGGATTCATGGTCATCGTTTAACTCTTAATTCCAGACCTTTGATTTCAAATTCTACCATCTGCCATGGGGGAATTCAAACCCAGATTCCTAGAACATTACCTGGGTCTCTGGATTAACAGTCCAGTGATAGTACCACTAGGCCATCGCCTCTCCTAACTACAGTTTATAGATATTTTTGATTTTGGGAGTTATAGTCAAGTTAGCTTAAAAACATTTGGACCCTGAAGGATTGAAAGAAAATAGAGTTCACAATCAGTTCCAATGAGAAATTTGAGTGAGTGATCCTTAACCAAAAGGTCTACTTCAGGACATTCCAGAGCTTGCAATACCATCATAGAGATGAATAGATCACAGGGAATTGCTCAGGTTTCAATTTATCTGGGCCTTAACTGAGAGAGTTTGTTGCAGCTCACAAAAAAGACTGTCGAAATAAATAACAGCTAGTATGCCTGAACTCTCAG